AATATTGATTGGAATGTACCCCTGGAGGTTTTGTTTGAAGATGGCAAGACCTTCTACAGAATATAGCTGTTGCTTTTTCTCATTTACAAAAACTACCTCCAAATGTGTTCTTTTTCCCTTGAAAATAATTGGTTTAACTGCAACTATGTCATTCCTGAACTTTTGTGCCATTGCTTCTATGATATCAGTTGTTAGAATATTTTCCAGATTATGTACCTCAAAAATCAACGCATTCTCATTCTTTGTATTAATCCTTTTTCTTAGTAAGTAGGTGGAGTATGTTGCCCTTCCCCTTTCTAATTTGGAGAACAATTCTGACCATTGTCTTGGTCTCAGTTGGGAGCCTGCTTCCTTAGTCACATGACTTGTACCTTGTGTTCTGTTGTTATCATATTCCACATAACTATTTTGTAACACGTGTTCTGTTTGTTTTGGTTGTTCTGGCAGTTCCTGACATGTTTCTTCACAAACTATCATGTCTTTTACTTTTTCTTCAGTTTTCTTTTGGTCTTGACTTTTTGTCAAAGGTTCCTTAACAACATAGTTTTCATTAAAACCTACTGTTTTGTTTGCATTTGCTGAGGTACCTGGGACGGATTTTTCCAAACTTCTAGCCTTATTTGGCAGCTCTGCTTCTTGGTTTTGGTTTCCCTCTTCGAAGAAGGAAACTCTGATTTTTTGTTTTTTTCTGTTCTGCCTGTTAAAGAGCCAGACATAACTATACAGACTTGTTTTCTTTTCTTCGGCACAAGAGTTTTAGCTCTTGTGGTATAGTTTTTTCTAAAGTTTAATCACTTGTTTATTGTTGTATATGTTATTTTGCTTTCCACCAAAAATCAGAGTAGAGAGAGATTTTTTTAGATCTCTATTATTTACTTTGTTTCTAATTTTCAAATCTTAAACTATGCCTACTTTAGTCTCTGAAGACCCTAATTCCTATGACATTGACTACTATCATGATAAATATAAAGATCACCATGATGTAGAAATGATCGAAGAAAACCCCAATCTCTATGTGTACTTCTAGCAGACATTAATTCAATTAATTGTGATACTACTAAAAAACATCAATATTTTAAAGTCTCTCAACAACCTATCATTGCTACATGCCTTTGTAGAATATATCATACCAGTTTCACTTCTCAGTTTTACAGAATCCCTCACTTTACTTCTCTTGGACAGCCTACAATTCAAACTTCTTCTACCATCTCTGTTAATCAGTTTAGAAAAATTTCTGATGAACTACCTCAATCACCTACTCCGAAACAACAACAATCTGATTTGCCTTCTTCTAAACCTCATATGCTATTTCCCAGTTTTCAAATAGATCCTACATCTTCTGCAATTGTTGCACATTCTCAACACTACCATTCATGTCTTATATGCAGTACTAAAAATATTTCTTGTATAGCTACAGAACAAAGTAGCCATGCTCCTGACTATGCAATTTGCACAATCTTTAAGCAAAATCTAATTCATAGACTTTGTGTTCCTGGTTTATTGGATATTAAACTTAAACCTTTGGTACAAACCTCTCCTCTTACATTTCAACAACAAATAGTTACAGCTTCAATCAAATCCAAACTAATTAGTTTAAACATTCAAACTTTCTTCTCTAAATCTAAAAAACAAATTATTCCTTCTCTTACTCTTAAACAAAAACTAATCCTTGCTCTTATTAAAATCCAACAAATTAAAAAATTCAACTTTTTAAATCTCTTCTTTTAAAGAAAAACAAAAAACAACAGTATTCCAAATAGCAAAAACCAAAGAAAAAAGAAACTCAAAGAGTTACTAGTAATGACCTTGACTGGTTTAAAGAATATTCAGTAACCGACACTATGAAAAACAATACCAAACTCAATAACCCAATTGCTCAACAATTATTCACTTTCATTAAACCACACCTTATCAACATCTATCCGGGAAAAATTATTCAACCAGCATCTAATACAAGTCCTGAATCAAAACTTAATTACAATACTTAATTAAAACCTTAGCAGGCAAAAGACCCAAATTCTTAACTGATCTCATCTATGAAGCAAACCCTACAATTGACAAATCAATATCTATTTCATTTGAACTAATTCATTCTACATTCATCTCTATTCTTAAAGAATTTACTACAACTTTATTTATTCAACTGAACTATCCAAAAATCTTTGCTTCTCAAAACTTCATTCCTCCATATACCACCACTAACCAGAAACAAGTAACTCTTAATTTGGCTCACTTACATCTTATCCTTCATGACAAATATAAAACTATTTATGCAGAAAAGTTTTATGAAGACTTTAAACTTTATCCTATCTACTTTAAATTACATTATAATTTCAGTGAAGACAATATCAATCAACCACTTTTTAAAATTCAAAACAATAATATATTTAATATTAACATTTTCTCAACATACCAAAAAAAAGATTTCTCCAAACCTTTCAAATTCCATCTTTAAAAAACCATCTACCAGAATTTAAAGCCTGGTTTGGGTTATATTAAGATCTGCATACACTCTCACCTGAACACATGAGTTTTGGAGTAGAGTAATTCTTTTGTTAAAAATAAGAGCAAACAACAAGACAAAACCGGCTAAA